ACACACGCACTCACACACACACAACCCTCCCTCCTCCACACCAGCTTTGCTCCAACTGAGGAACTTTTGTCACCACGGGGTTTTCCTGGGAGCTGCAGGGGTGGCATTGAATGAACCGTGTCAGCAGCTCCTCCCCGTGGCCTCTGCCTCTGCCTGGTGTTGTCTGCATTTTCGACAAGTGCTGCTAACTCGGCCCTGACTGGTAACTCGGCCCTGCCCCTCTGTGCTGTGAGGGGCTGCTGGGCCATTGTTTAGCCTCCCTTCTGGCCTTGAAAAGCCCGTGGAGCCCCACACCCTGCCCTCCTGCCCCACCTGCTGAGGACGCTACCTGAGGTGAGTGAGCGCAGCGAGCCCTGCGCCGGGGTCTGGGAAGAGTGTCTGCCATGCCCCCTGGAGCCTTTGAGGCAGAAGGCAGGTGAGGCCTCTCCTCAGGGCCCTGGGCAGGTGACAGCTCTGGAGAGCAACTGTGGGGACAGCCTTCCCTGCTTTGGGTGGGGGCTGAGACCCTGGGCCTCTGTGGATGTGGGCGAGGTCCCCATTCTGGCACACACATGCACATTCACACAGGGGAGATGGGCGTGTGACTGGTAAACACATCCCGTGACGCTCTGGTCACAGGGTCCTGAGAGACATCATCCCCAAGTAGCAGCCTCGGCTCACTGAGTGCCCACGCACTGTCCCACTGAATCCTCACAACAGCCCCCTCAGTCGGGTCATGGTTCCATGTTCAGATGAGGAAACAGGTACAGAGACGTTGAGTAACTTGCCCCAAATCACACAGCTATGAAGTGGTCCATTTTTCTGACTCTTAACTGGGATGTGTGTCTCCAGATCCACAGGAATATCCCTGGCTCTTCCTAGAGCTGAATGATGGAGGTTAAGGCTGGGTGGTTGATGTTTGTAGGAAACTCAGGTGCACTCGGGGACAGCAAACCTGTCTCCCCAGGCTGCAGAGCGCAGGGAGCCTGCAAGGACAGTCACTAGCATGATATGGGAGCACCACAGGGGCATCAGTGATGCAGAGCCCATCTGACTGTCATGCCTCTCGCTCAACGCCACACCCCTTGTCACAGCATATGTTCTAGACACAGGCTTATTTTCTATCCTTAACCCTGGGGCCACAGGCCTGGACTCCCGAGAGCAAGCCCCTCAGCCGCCATCACCATCCCATTCAGCCTCACTGTCATTGTCTGCAAAACAGGGCCAATCTCCTCTGCATTTGTTTCCAGGAGCTTCCATGACAAAGTGTCACAAGCTGGGTGGTTTGGAACAGCAGAAGCCTGTGTGGGTTGATACTTCTGGGGGCGAGAAGTCCACAGTCAAGGTGCTGGCAGCGCCAAGCTCCCCCCAAACCCTGCAGAGGAAAGAGCCTTCCTTGCCTCTGGCAGCTTCTGGTGGCTCCAATGTGCCTTAGCTTGTGGCAGCATCACCCAGCCCAGGCCTCTGCCCTCCCATGGTGTTCCCCCTCCCACCGGCCCCATGTATCTTCATGTCACCTTCCTGGTATGCATACCTGTGTCTGGGACTGATTTTCCCCTTTCAGAGGGACACCAGTCTTACTGGGTTAGGGCCCACCCTACTGTCCACATTTTAACTTGATTATCTCTGTCAAAACCCTATTTCCAAATAAAGCCACTTTCAGAAGTACTGGGGTTAAGACTTCACATGTTTTCCCCATGTGTTTAGTGGGACAATTCAACCCATAACACTCTCTTGCGAGGTTATCATGCGGATCGCATGTGCTAAGGCATGTAAAGCTCTGAGCACGGTGCTTGGCTGGCATTTCATTCCATAAATTGCTTTTCAAAGAAAACAGTTGGCTGGGCATGGTAGCTAACACCTGTAATCCCAGCACTTTAGGAAGCAGAGGTGGAATCATCACTTGAGGCCAGGAGTTTGAGACCAGCCTGGGCAACATAGTGAGAGCCCTGTCTCTACAAAAATAAAATAAAATAAATGGCTGAGTGTGGTGGCGCACACCTGTAAATCCCAGCTCCATCCAGAGGCTGAGGCCGGAGGATCACTTGAGCCTAGGAGGTCAACACTGCAGTGAGCTATGATTGCACCACTGCACTCCAGCCTGGGTGACAGAGTGAGACCCAGTCTCAGAAAAGAAAAAGACAAAAGTTGAGCACCTGGCAATTAGATGCTCAGTGTACATTGTGTGCCAGGCCCCCAAATCCTCACAATCACCCCTCAAACCAGACAAGGTTTTCATTTAAATGATACAGAAGCTGTGACTCAGAGAGGTTAAGGCATTTGTCCGAAATCACACAGCCTAAGTGGCAGAACTGAGGATCAGCCCAAGCCTATGAGGCTCCACCTCATCACACTGCATAGGACTGCGCTGTAGTGGGAAGTGAGGGCTGCTTGGAGGGACAGAAAAACAGGGAGAAAAGTGCTGAGCACATGACACGCAGGCCCTGGGGGGGCTTTCTGGGTTTGAGGGACCTAGGATGAGTCTCTGCAATAGTGAGAAACCCAGCTGATGGCAGGCTGCCCGGGGAGGTGCTGGCGGGCTGCCAGGGTGCAGGGCCAGCAGGTCTGAGCCACTCCGGTGTGACCTAACAGGCCTGGCCGATACTCGCGGGGGTGCCAGGGGGTGGGGGTTGCTGGGACAAGGCTTAGCTGGGGCTGAGGAATGTTGCCCTGAGTGCAGGTACACTCACTCCTCCAGGCTTCATTCTGAGTACACACAGCTCTCCAGGAAGCCAAGAGGACACTTCCTTACAGAGGCTGGAAAGTACGATCATCCAAGATTCAGGCCACTCTCTCTTCCTTCCTGCTTTCTTCTGAAGGGTTCCTTGCACCTAAGGGAGGTGACAATGTTGAGAGCAAATTCTGACATGTGTGGTATATCATATTATTTGCCGAGAGCTGCAGCAAGGAAAACCTAGTTGGCGCCCCAAAGCAGGAAACTGACCCCAAAGCAGAAAACTGCTCAAAGCATTTTAAAACAGTAACCAATATGAATATGTCTCACACCAGATGAATTAGTTCTTTAAACACAGAATATGTGACTCGTTCCTTTGTTCCCTTGTAAAGAGGGCTTCCTAGTCTATTTTTAACCTCTAGTAAACATCACTAGCTGCCTTGTTAGTTTACCTTTAACCAATGAAAGAACACAGAGCATCCGCTTGTTAAACTTATCACTGAAATGAAAAGAATAAATATGTGGGTCAGAGTCTGCTCTGGGCTCTCAGCTGGGAATACTGTGAGACCCCTGATGCTCTACTCTGATCATCCACCTTTTCTTTTTTTCCCTGTGTCTGTTTCTTAATTCCTTCAGTGCCACCTGGGTTGGGGTCTCGACAGCCAAGCTGGTCTCAGCATGACAATGAGCTAGATTTTCAGTTCTGGACTAGAAGTTCATTTACTCAGGTACTAATTTATTCACTCATTTACTCTTCATTTATTTTTTCATTTATTCACTCATTTACTCTTTCACCCATTCACCTAGTGGCTCACTGATTCATTCACTCATCCTCTCACATATTTATGTCCACAGCCATTCACTCTTCCATCTACCCATCCACCCATCCATCCATCCAATCATCATCCTCTCATTCAGTTGTCTTCCCATTCATCCCTTCTCTTATCCCCTATTTTCCCAACCAATCTTTCATTCTTTCTCCTCCCATCTATCCATCCATCCACCCACCCACCCACCCATCCAAACTTTATTAAGCACCTACCATGTTTCCCACACAAAACTCCCTATGGCTCCCAAAGTAGTTTTGCACCCACTTCCATGGATAATTCACTTACATTTTGAGCCCCAGCTCCTTGGCCTCCCAGTGACGTGGTTCCCTTGTGTCCTCCGCAGGAGGAGGTTCAGAAGTGGATAGGTGGTCATCTGCACAGCCCTAGTCTGCAGGCTCCAACCAGTGACAGCTGCCTGAGACTCGGGGTTTTGCAGGACCCTGTGTGCTGCGAGACCTTTCCTGTCTTTAAGAACCACGCACAGTCCTGGGCACTGTGGCTCCAGCGGGGCCCTGTTTCCAGCATCTTGGGCTCCATTCTTGCCTCCGACGGGCCAGAGCAGAACTTCAGACTGTGGGGACCCATAGACTTGGGGTCCCTCCTTGAGGAGGACTTTGAGGCCTCTCTTCTGAGAGTACAGGCAAATATGCTGCCTGGAAAGATTCACGGACACCCGCAGCCTTAGAGGAGGGCAGGGCAGGCCACAACCATCTGGGGAAGTCTGTGGCATCCATCCTGGCCAGAGGCCAAGAGAAGGGGCTCATGGTCCGAAACGGATGCAGGGAACAGGACACGGCCAGGGTAGCTGGCAGGAGTGCTTCTCATATGTCCCTAAATGCCCTACTGCTACACCTTGGCATGTGTCCTTGTTGGTGCCTGGAAACTCCTTCCCACTCCCCACCCCTACCTGACATGCAGCCTCTGCTCTCCTCTCAGCTGAGTCCGCATGCTCCTGCTCTCTGTTCTCAGACACTCTGGTCACTGCCCCCAGGGCGCCTACAGAGCTCCATGAAGATTTGCTGAATGAATGAATGAGTTCTCATTTTACAGATGAGGGGTTTAAATTCCCCAGCTTTCCCCTTCCCCCTGCCTTTTCCCAGCTAGTTCCTCCTCCTTTACATCCCAGCCAAAAGGCCAACCCCGGCAGGGTCTCTGGACACCCCTCACTTCCCCACTCCCGTTTCCTGCTCCCTTCCTATCCTCCTGGCCACTGCCCAGATCCTGCTCTTTTTACACCCTGACATCTTCCTGCTTGCTAGTTTCCTGTCTCCTAGCAAATGTCACCATCCCCGTTTCACAGAGGAGGAAACCACAGCTCAGAGAAGCCTCAGAGGGAATGGTCCAGCCAGATAAAAACCCCTGGGTCTGAGCACTTTCTTCCATCCATATCAACCAGGTGCTTTATTCAAGTCGTTTTACCCTGAAATACGGAGGGCTGTAGGTAATAATGGTGGTCATGCAAATCATATTTCATGACAGTTTTTGAACAGCGCCATTTCCACTTGGCAGTTCCAGTGTGGGTGGGCGGCACTCAAGGGTGCGCGCGCGTTCCTGCCTGTAGGTGGCCCCGGCCAAGCCAGCCCCGCCCCAGCAGGAGGCTGGACATTCGTCCTGCTTGAGGGTGTCTGGGAACTGGGTGTGCCACGGGGTCCCTGCCTCCCTCCTCCCTCTCACATTGCCGAAGAGTCAGCCCCACGGCTGCGGCACCGAGACAGCCTGCCCGGGATCCTCAAGGTGCCAGCCCATGGCCGAGCCTGCCATCCTCTCGGCCGCCCAGATGGAGAGGCTGGCCCCAGCGTCCCTAGCCTCACCGTGTCCTCGGATCCCGCGGGCTCGCATTGCCAGGCGCTGCGCCCAGCGCTGGGCCGACCTGGGCTGCAGGTACAGGAGTCACGGGAGCGGGAGGGAGGTTGGCCCTACTGTGTGCCAGGGGCATGTGTCATCTGTCTTCACAACATCCCTGTGAGCAAGAATCTTCCTCCGTTGTACAGATGAGGGAACAGAGGCTTGGAGAGTCCAGGGACTGGCCCAAGGTCACCCGGCTGTCAAGCGGTGATGGCTTCTAGCCCTGGTCCATGGGACTCCACACTCAGGCCCTTCCTGGGACACAGCATTGCCTGGGCTCATGCTGCCAGCCTCCTGCAGTGGTCATTGACTTTTAGATTCTTAGAGACCACGAGTGACAGTGATGCCAGTATGTGCCATTTCCTCTTCCTCTTCCTCTTCCAGGGGCTCAAGATTCAGGAGTCTCTGGGTCAAGATTCTGGGTCAGTGTGGCCGTGTGGTCACCTCGCTGAGAACTGGTGACCCCTTATTCCTGCTTAGCCTGCCACTGACAGCCAGACAGAATTTTCAAGTAGTCATTTCCCCCATTATGATTACATCACATTACAATTTGATTATTATAGAAAGTCAGACACTACAGGAATACACATGCTTATTCTTGAAAACTTACTACTGTTAAAATTTTGACATATACCTCGGGAGAACTTTTTGACATATAAACCTATACTTGTATTGTTTTACACAAATAGGATCATGGTATACATGTGCTTGTAAAGTTTTTTTCCCCAAACCCCTTAATTTACGTTAGGGACAACTTTACATGTCAGTAATGTAAAGATCGAATTCATTCACTTTAATGGCCTGCTGGGATCCAACTCTGGATACCTTGGCTTCATTTGAATCAGTCCCAGGCTAATGGACATTTAGGTTGGTTCCAATTTTTGATAATTCTAAGCAATACAGCAGTGAGCATCTCTGCGGATGTGCATGGGTAAAATTCACGTCCCAGACTTGTAGTTGCAAGTTTAAAAGGAACGTTAGAATCTTAAGCCAGATTGCCCTCCAAAGTGTTCTAGCTTGGAACACACCTGCGGCAGGAGACCCCCATTGCCCATTCATTTGCCACCCAAGGACCTGAAGACCAGACGAGGTCTGTACTCAGGGAGCAGATTCAGGGAGGAGGTGATCCTGACTGTAGGATAACTGAGTCCTAGATTTCTCTTAAGGGAACAACTAACTTCTAGGCTCAGGAAAGGGAGGGGGAGCTGGGTGAGACCATTTCATTCATACAGCATGTTCCTGAGTTCCCATGTGTGTAGGGCTCTGCCCCATCCCAGGCAAAAATTACTCAGAATTACTCAGGATATGATTTTAATGATAATCAATCTGAATAAGCCAAAGACAAATTTGTGTATCTATCTATCATCTATCTAATCTATGTATCTATCTATATGTTTCCTATTGCTGCTATAACAAATTATATAAGCTTATCTATCATCTCTCTCTCTCTCTCTAACCTATATTGGTTTTCTATTGTTGCTATAACAAATCACCTAAGCTCAGTAGCTTAAAACAACACAAACTTGTTATCTGACAGTTTTGAATGGTGGAAGTCCTGAATTGAGGGCTCTGTAGAGCTCTATTCTGTCCGAATGCTCTAGGAACCGGTTTCCTTGCCTTTTCCATCTTCTGCCAGTGCCCACATTCCTTGGCTGATGGTCCTCTCCCATCTTCAAAGCCAGCTCTGTAACACCTTCACATCTCTCTCTGACTCGGCCCTCCACTGTCATCACCATGCCTCCTTCTCTCACTCTCCTGCCTCCCTCTTTCATGTATCAGGATTCTATGATTACATTGGGCGCACTGGGTAATCCAGGATCATCTCCCAGTCCCAAGATCGTAGCTTAATCACATCTGCAGAGTCCCTTTTGCCTGATAACATATGTTCACAAATTCCGCGGATTAGGCTGAGGACATCTTAATGTGATGAGCTGCGATTCAGCTGATCATACCATCTATCCAATCATCCATCTGTCCATCCATCCATCCATCTACCTACCTACCTATCTGTTACGGCTGTTCCCCTGACCCCACTGCCATCCTCCCTTAATCTCCTGGTTCCTTGTGATCTTTAAGGATATTAATATTGAATTCATTATAAGAGCTCCTGACCCACCGAATGTGCTTAATAACTACTGGTTGAATGAACAAATGAATAATACTTAAGAGGGTTTAAAATTTGAATAATTCATTCTCTTTATTACTGAAAACAAAACAACAAAAGCAACATTCTTACTTCCAAAACAGTGTTTTTTTAACCAAGGTTCTGCAAACATTTTATTTGAATTTAATTTTTATTATATCTTTCAAGTATTAAACAGCTAGTAAAAATACTACCTGCACTTAAGTATCCCCAATGTTTTTTGTCAGCCAAAATTATCTTGATTGTATGAGCTGTAAATGCTTTAAATTAAACTTATAAAATAAGCTTATAATAATATCACTGTTACTCTTGTTTTTTGAGAAGAGATTCCACTGCCAAATAAAAAAAAGCGAAAACCACTTCCCTGGAACAGGGTTGGTCTGTTTGCTTCAGGCCAATGTTCCTGTGTGTGGGTTAGTTCCCCCAGTCCTCTCACTGCTCACTTACCTGTGAGTCATTTAGTTATTCAATAAATTCCAGCAGGACTGCAACCTTCAGTGTGCAAACCTGGGTCTGTTCTGTTTACCCACGGCTCTCCAGCACTGGCACAGGGCTGGCTCATTGTAGGTGCTTATGAAATATTTGCTCAATGAATGAAATGCTCACTGCCTTTACATGAAGTTCCGTGATGGACATGAGGGCGTAAACATGAATAAGAAGCTCTCTCAGCCCTTAAGATGTCCACAGGCTGGCCCAGGAGGAAGACATAACGTTGGTCCACTATCATGTAATACACTAAACGCTGACCGGGAAGGTCTGAGCAGGGATGGGTAGAGTCAGTGTTGCCATCAAACAGAACTTGCCATAATGTGAGTGAGGCGCAGAATTCAGTCTATGCGGACTTAGTCTTAAAACCATGCAACATTAACCTTGGGAGGTGCCTCAGAGACCCAGTGGGAGTGAGGTGACTCTTGGGATTCCCCTTATCCCTGCTCCCCAATCGAAATATATTTTCTGTTAATTCATGATTGCTATAAAAATACAAAAAAGTAGCAAGTGAAATCCACCTGCCCCTCCCACCTCCAACCCACAAGAATAGCAATTGTGAGAAGTTATGTATACATCCTATAGGATTTTGTGCTTCATAAATATTTACATACACATACATACATGTATATGTAAAATGTATAGATAACCCAATCCATGTACATAATTGTACTTATATACGTGAATTGGTTTATATTATGTATACTATTTTATAAATGACATTTCCCTCTTTATAATATCTTTTCCTGGAAAGACATAGAAATCAACATGATCGTTTTTTGTTTGTTTGTTTGTTTTTTGACAGAGTCTTGCTCTGTTGACCATGCTGAGGCTGCAATGCAGTGGTGAAACCACTGCAGGCTCAACTTCCCAGGCTCAGGTGATCCTCCCACCTCAACCTCCCAAATAGCTGGGACCACAGGCATGTGCCACCACACCTAGCTATTTTTTAAATATTTTGTAGAGAAGGGGTCTTGCTATGTTGCTCAGGCTGGTCTCAAACTCCTGGACTCAAGCGATCCTCCTGCCTCAGCCTCCCAAGTAGGTGGGACTACAGGCATGTGCCACCGCACCTGCCCTTACACTGTCCTCTTTAAAGACGGTGTGATGTTTCATTTTATGATTGAATAGCACTTTTGTTAACTACCCTCCTGTTGATGGAATTGTAGATTGTTTATTTTTCTCTTTTGGTTGCTATCAAAAGCTATACTGCAATGTTCTTGGACATGTATCTTGGCGTACTTAACCTTATGATACATTTTCAGAAAAGGAATCATTGCATCCAAAGGTAGATACATTTAGAATTGTGAAGCATATCTTGGGAGTTGGTTTTCCAGGAAGGCTGTACCCAATTAAACTCACCAAGGGGGTGTAAGCTTGTTTCCTAGTAGACGTGACATTCTTAACCAGGGATTATTGTTCTTTTTAGTCTTAGCTGATTGGATTGAGAGAAACCCATCTGTTGTTTTAATTCACGCTTTTATTAGTAGTAGTGAGGTTGAGCATCTTTTCACATGCTCAGTGTCTGGCAGAGTTCAAAGGCAGATCAGAGAGGCAGAAAGATGCATTTTGAGTCTAGTGCACCAGGCAGATTTCCTTAATCAATAATGGGCTAAATGACTTGGCTGATTGCACACAGATAGCCTGTAGAATCAATCACCTTTACAAGATTCACCTTCACTCATATTTTGCTCATGTGTAGCTCATGTCTCTGCCACTGGGGTCAATGCCAGCTGATCTGTCCAGACATCATGTCCCTTTAAACCTCCAGATACACCCCCCTGTATGTGAACCCAAGCACTAATAAATCACCTTCATGTGGTTTAAATGTGTTAGGGGTAGGACAGCCTGAATCTCAAAGCCCAGCTTCACCACTTATCAGCTGTGGGCCTCTGGGGAAGTTACTTAACCTCTCTGAGCCTCAGTTTCCTTTTTTATAAAATGGTTGTGAAGAGCAGCACCTGCTTCTTAGGCTTGTTGTGAGGATAAAATGACATTAATGTGTGTGAGGGCTTAGTATAGTGCCCACCATGTAGGAACTGAGCAATTTGTGTCAGATATCAGTGGCCAAAGGTGAAGTTCTTTGAGCTGACTCCAAATAGCACAGGCTTGTTTTCATGGGACGAGTACATTCAGGACTACTGACTCCCTGGCATGGTAGAAAGATTTGCATTTGAGTCCTAAATCCTCCACTCATCCTTGAGAAAGTTCCCTCACTTCTCTGGGCCTGATCCTTCATTTGTAGAATCAGTGGCATTCAGATTGTGGCTGCCATTCACAATCACACATCCTCCTGGATCAAAACTCGGAACAGCCACCTCAGGACTGCAGCTCTAGGAACCAGGCTGCTGCTGGGGGGCTTCTGCCCAGCTTTGTAGGAAAAAAGCCGTTACAAGCTGCTCTCCTC